TTTCGTTCTCAGTGACCCAGAATTAGTAAAGTTTGACTACATTTATTTCAGAAGCATTTTGGCTGTAGAGCTGTGCTATCAATTGTTGCCATAGCCCTAGAAGAATAAACCTCAAGCCCCTCAGCTTCTGTCACCCTAATGTACGTATAACATGTCTCAATGTGTAGCTTAATCCACATAGGCACTGAGTAGAAATGGCATCCCTCTTACAATGATCTTCAAAGGGTAAGCAAGATTGCACATTTGTTTTTAACCAAGTAAATTCAATATTTGGGGAAGGTCAACTCAGTCCTGGGGAGACAGACCATGTGTAACTACCAAAGGTTAAGCTTAAAAGCCTGATCTTCTGATGAGGTGCAAGGACAGACCCGTATGCCCATACAGAGCCCCACTGAAGTCAATGGGAGGCTTCCTGCATATACCACTGCAGGCATGTACTGCACACAATGAGTCTCTGGACTCATTCAGTCCCTCTACCAAATAGGATTTCTAGTATATGGACACTGGTCCTCAAGGAATTCACTAATTCCAAGAATTAATTTCACATTAGGGCTGATGTCTGTTGATTACTTTTGATCCACAATGACCAGGATTCAAGCCAGTTATAGAGGTGTACAGTTCTCTAATCCTTTACCAACTCCCTCAGTCCCACCCTTCTTATTAAAAGGCCAGTCAAAAGGTATTATTTTTAAAAATTAAGGACATTTTAGAACTGAATTTTCCAGAATCTAGTTTATGTTTTGCTGTTTATGCTATTCATTAATTTTTTTACATTGCTCTCATTTTGGAGAATTAAAATAGTTATGTGAGCTTCACTTTCAGGTTCTCATTTGCTTAGGACAACACTGCAAATACTTAAGTGGAAAGGATGTCTGTTTTAAACAGTACGCTACTGAAAAAAACCTTTTCTTTGGCATTTAGCTTTATAAAAGTTTTACACAAAACCTACATCCGGGGCTAAATTTGACCTGACAGTGGCCTGTTAAATAAGGTTTTAATTTCTAAAAATGTGACTTTTGTCACACTGCAAATTAAGTAGATGCCAGTCAAACTAATACCATCCTTCAAATGGCTCCTTCAGTGGTGAAAATAAAGATGTTACATATTGCTGTAGATTTTCAGACAGCATATGGGACTGGCTCATTTTCCTAAAGATTAGTTGGAAAAGGTAACTGACAGCAGTCTTCCAATTTTATACAAATCTGTACCTTTTACAATTTTGTACCACAGATTAGTTAGGCAGATAAGAATTTCAACCAGATGACATTCTATTTCAAGAGTTCACAATTACTGTTGACAAATAAATCTGTTAGTCTTTAAGGTGCCACCAGACTCCTTGTTGTTTTTGTAGATTGTTGACAGCTGTAACTGTTAAACATTTATACTTAATCAGATATGGCCAAAACCCCACCAAGAAGCCAGAAAATTTAACAGCTATGTCATCAGAGATCTATCCTTCACTAGGACTACAAAACCACTCCAAAGAAACTAGAGCTGTTAAGAATAGCTGAGTTCAAGTGTAAAAACCTACAGGAATAATTTCCATACCCACCACCAAAACCAAACAACATTTAGATTGATGTTACTTCCAGAAGCTATCTTGTTTGTAGCTCTCCAGAAGAGAAAACTCAACTGTTTTTGAAGACAAATACAAACAAGGCTACTGGCCCAAGTAAAAGTTTTGTTTAAAAAGCTACAATTTGTATTTGTCCATATTGGGGGGGGGGGGGGGGAGGGGGGAGAGAGAGAGGGTAGAGATTGTGGTGTGTGAGTAAAGGTTTTTGGTTTAGGAATCCACTTCACCCTGCTGAAATAGAGTTTAAGGGGAAATCTTAATATACATAATACTATAACATCTAGTTACATAGTGTATGCTATTTTATATTTAATAACCACCACAAGAAAAAAAACTGATACAAGGCTACACACACACACCACACTAGTTGAGAGTCTGGTGACATCAGATACCCTTCTGCCTCACTCACACAGTTACCATTTCAATAGAACCACTTCAAAGCTATCCAACTGTAACTTTATCTTCAAGTTAACTGTGCAATGTATTAACCTAACATATATCACAACTTTTGAAAACTTCAACAAAAGTGGATTTGACCAAACGTAACTCATTTGGAAAGAAATAAATTGACAGCTAAAATTTCCTGATGTGGTACATTGGATATAGCAAAGTGCAAAAGATCCAGGTTTCTAGGGGCCCTCCCATTAAGACAGCCAGTCCGAGGTAAAAATGAGTTTTTCTTTGAAGGAATAGATGGCTAGACCAGATCTAAGAAAATATTACATATATTTGAAGGTAAGTTTCTAAAAAAAGAAGCCCAGCTCTTCATTGTCAGTTCTCTGCAGGTTTCCCTCTCAGATTCAACCACTCTGTTTTCAAAAATACAGTCTCACAGACCAGTAGCTCCAAAAGGCTCTATGGAATTCACTACTGATCCATTTGCTCAACTTGTCGTCGCCGCTTACGGAATGCCTTTAAGTTCCATTTGGTTGGTTCTAGCATAAAAGGTCCATTGTAGACAAACAACACTGTCATTTTTTCAGCATAGGTGAGATTCTGCAGGAGCTGTGAAAAAATGAAAAAAAAAAAGTCTCACTAAGCAACACCTCTTATACCAAGCATCACTTTTGTATTAGTTAAAATAGATTAACATTTCCCCCAAAAAACTTTTGCATGGTGCTTTTACCATTGTTTGCCATTGACCACATATGCCTGTCTCCCAGTGCCTGGACAATCTGGGATAAGGAAATGAAAGGGTAGAAATAACAAACACCATCACCATTTTTCCGCTCTAAGCCCACATCTACACCACAACGACTACAGTGGCAAAGCTAAAGCCCCATAGCTACTCCAGTATAACCCTCTAGCGTAGATGCAGCCTAAATCAACGGAAGGGGTTTTCCATTGCTGTAGGAACATCATCTCCCCAAGTGACGGTAGCCAGGTCGACAGAAGCATTATTCCGTCAACACAGCTGCATCTACACCAAGGGTTAGGCCATCATAGCTACATGGCTCATTTTTTCAGACCTCTGAGCATCGCAGTTATGTCATTCAAAGTTTTAAGTGTAGACCAAGCTTAAGTTATGCCGGACACTCAAGTTTAGGTGACCAATGAATAAAAG